ATTCTGATGCGTAGGGTTTCGCGATTTTAGTGGGCACAAGTTCCGGCATTTTTATGTGATTAGACCGACGTGAGTTCAGAAGGACATGCAGCATCGTTCTAGGAGAGAGTCCGCCAATCCAGTGTGTCAAAAAAATTGTTGAATTAGCTAATATCTGCCAGGCCATAAGCATGATAATTATGAACTGCTCAACCTCACTTCCAGACATAAGAAGTGATAATCAGCTCACAGACCTGTTCCTATCGTAATAAGCACACAATAAAACATAAATTGTATAACATACAACAAAAATATCGAATGAACAAGAAATAAACGCGCAATAACATATTAAAAGGTTCACAAAAGTAAGCTGGATGTAATTACATGATTTACAAAACTTAAATTTTCCTGGTATTTCCATTCTTCTAGGGCTGCTGCACTAACATTTTTTCCAATGATACTTCTCATTTACTATACTAATAGTGTTCGATTAAAAGCCGTACTATTGTTCTGTCAGAAGGTAATTTATTGCCTACATTCTTCTGTATTCCATCCAGAAATCCCTTTGAAATTTGTAAAAAGAATTAACGTTTTTTGATTAACGTTAACGTAGGACAGACAAAATTACGGCGGACAGTACTGCAAATGAATGCTCGGAGCCAAAATAAACGATTCTGGTTACACCAAGTTCTCCAAACGTGTAACTTTAATGAGATCTAACCTTTAACCACATGTACCAGCCAGTAAGGCGACCGTAAGAAAATAGCGCGTTTTCGATTTCGTCTATGTGTTCAGTAGCCCCGTGAGTGGCAGCTGAGACATTTATCGGGCTGCTTATGAGATGGTAGATTATGGATTTATACGAATGATCGATCATCCTTATTCCCTTCCCTTTTTCTTGGGTGATTCGAGCCTCAGGAACACTCTCCAGACCCTTTTTATTTGGGCTGTTATCGTTTCCCACTGCGCCCTCATCTCTATTAGACGCCTCAACTTTCCTGATTCGTATCGCTCCTTTTATTTCTCTCGCACGGATTATGCATATGTGTTCATCATAGTGGTGTCAATTTCATTTTCAATCTGTCGATTTTTGGGAATAAACTCATCTTTACGCTGTCAAGATATGAAAACAAATGTTGCCGGAACTAAGCAACAGACACCTTCATTCAAACGAGCGCTCACAATTAGTGTTTTGTCAGCGTTGATAATTGCGTCCACATGTTGCAAACCCCTTTCAATCGAACATTTGTTGATCATCTCACTAAGTATCGTCCTATCGAACTGGCGATTTATGCCCACCCTCTTCAAGGTTGTTGTTTTCTTTCTCATTTCACTCTTAATTAGGTTTGTTTAGCGGTGGCCGCAGTTGATTATACACGTTTTACCCGAGAGCATTACGTTCGGACGCACACACTGGAAGCCTATAACTTTCTGTACACCATCAGGATGTCTATGGTTGACCACTACTTCAAGTTCTTCGCACTGACAGTCGTTTCTCAATTCAGTGGCATCTATATTTCGTCTCTTTGTGATGGCCTCGCGGTGCACCTAGTGGTTCTGCTTTTTTCGAAATTCAGTCTTTTGCCAGTGTTAATTAGTCTCTATTCCGGTGCTAATTCTCACTTATCTACCGAGTTTACCCTCCCAAGGTAGGTCGACTTTTCGTTAAGAGCAATATTTTTTTTTCAAAACTACAGCCGGTTAGTACCCTAAGACTTTTTTCAGCCTTTCATTGTCATTGATTACTAAGTTCTGTCCTCTTGTCTGACCCTTATCTCAAAAATATAGGTTTGAGTCACACCGATCAATGTTTGTCTATCTTTCTTTTAGATCTATATAAAAAAATATATTTTGCTTCAGGTTGGTTGCTCGTCTTCGCGGACCCTTTTCTCGTACGAGGACTCGCACTTGCTCCGTCTCGACTTCGGTTCCAACTCGCGTTTCTGATATGCGAATGCCAGTTTTTCCATCTTCTGATTCCGAAGTTCCTCGTTATTACGTTCAGTTGGTGACTGCTGCCCTTTTGTCCATCCTCAATGCCGGTCTGTCGCTTAAAAATTGCTTTTCTACGGAAGATGATATCTGGACTGCTCTAGCAAGGAGCTTTCTCAAACCGACTACTCTATGGGTCATTTTCGGAACTTTAGTAGTTCAGCGTTCCCTAGCAGGCCTCGTGATTCATATTTTCTCGAAGGCCTGCGCCTGCGAAAAATGCCTTTTGACGAGATCTAAAGATGTCAGGAAGCGAACAAACTCGGAGAGTGATTCACCAATCTGCCTCAATCATCCCGAAAGCTCTGAAATTACTGAAAAGGTAATTTATTATGTTCGTTACGCAATTAAGTACTTGCTACCACTATGCTTACCTGGACCCCTTACTATTGTTAAATAATCCGGCCTGCAATATTTAAGTTAATTCAACCCTATTCATTCCCATCTATCCTCATATTGAATCTTTTTCAGACTTTTTGTTTTGTGTTGCGACGGTGTTCAAATCCACGTTTTGCAGTACCAGTATACGCTGAACAGTAATATTATTTCGGGAACCTAATTTTAGTTGGCGTAATCTCGATATTTTACTTCCTCTACTTCCAATCGAAAGTCATCAATTGTGTGTGTAAGATTGCTGAACAAACTTGAAGTTCTATCGCTGAATCAAGGCTTTCCAGGCTTGTTCTGGTTTTTAGACATCAAAATTCTAATTGAATTCTATCACTAACTACAGAATATTCACATCCGTACATCTAGCTGCAGCATGCACTTCTCACAGTAAACTACAAAGACGGGCCTGGCAGGGTCACTGGATCCTCAGTGTAACCAATGACTAAAGTGCGATTATGTCACCGCCGCTGCAATGATTGCGCGTAATTACTAATAACCATTGTGCCTTGTCCATCCCTTAAAAACCACCAGGATTATAAAAACTCAGGATATTATCACATTACATCGTTTACTAAAACTGGCGTGATAAAAAAAGCACCTTCCGGTTGTCCAATGGACTTTTTACCTGCATGCTTCACTAGTTTCCGAAAGAGCTTTAAGGATGGACCTACTAGTCCACCTTTGAGTGACAACATTCTTATGTTATCCCACCCATCTATTTTTCCCTGTAATTCCTATTGCAGTGCAGTTCCAACAGCACACTGTCCACAAAGCAGATGAACTCTACGGGGCATAACTTTGGTATTCTACCGAAGTCCGTGGAAGGTACGCGGTCAGCCGAATCCAAGTTTTCAGCAGTAACAACCCCAGCAACTCCCAGCTCCAAACGGGTTAGTCCATTTCGTCTACTTCATTTTCTTACTCTCTGACCGCGGGCCACTCCTTTTTCGCACATAAGGCAGAAACATTTGCATTTAAGGACGTCAAACCGTTAAAGGGGAAGGACGGAAGAAAGACGATATAAAGCCTTATTTATAGTTATCTTTGCTGCCGTTATCGATTTTTTTAATAGACTTATTTTCTTTTTCCCTTTTACGGCATTGAAGTTCATTTTTGCCACATGTGGTTCGTGCAGGTCACGGTCCGCAACTGGTCTTATATTTGGTTAAACTTCGAGCACTTTTTCAGCAACAGGTAAAATGCAACCTATTAACAAGGCCTACATATTAACAACGTCGTGCCCCATGATGAGGCCCTAAAGCAACGTTCATATTTGGCAAGCAGTCACAGTATTTTTGACCCAACCGTCAAAGTTCATACCGTACTTTGAATTGAGAATACGGCTTTTATCGAACTCATTGCACTGCACGTTTCCTTGCAGTCTGAACGAATCTGTTGTATTCACCTTTTCGCCTCATAGGTTGCTGACCTGGATGATGCCGAAGTACTGGAACTTATATCTACCGGTAAACTGAAGACGCGAGAGCTAGAGTCGGCCTTAGAGAACCTAGCCCGGGCCGTATGCATTCGTCGACAGGATCTCGCCTTGCGGTTGGCTAATCCTCATGCCCTGGAGCGCATCCCACACTGCAACTTCGACTATCGACCTGTGATTGGCCAGTGTTGTGAAGAGGTAATTTTTTCCTCCTCTTCCTTCTTCTCCTCATCCTCCTACCCTCGATGGTGAATTCTGTCAGGCTTAGCATTTTGGCCCGTTTATGTGTCGAAAGGTTCAGTACTTTGTTCCGTGTATTTACCGACCGCACTGACACAGTTCAACCCTTTTTTATAAAGCAACGAAAATTTGCAGTGGAAAGACTTCTAACCTATGCGGGCCAAATATTTATTTGTCGCTTTCTTTAAAAATATATGACGTTAAGGGTGGGGTAAGAGATTTCTTGAATTCATTTATCGTTCGACTTAAGATGCGTGACTATTTTATTTCGCTGTCCGTCTAGCATTAAATGCAGCTATCAAGAACTGACGGGCTGGTGTTACCTGCTTGAAAATTCACGAGTACAACTCGATTTTCCAAAGACTTTTTTTATTTTCATCATTATGTCTCAGAATGCGAATTAATTCAATTATTAAATATACATATAGTACTATAGGGCTCACCAATTTGGTTAAGGAGCATGTGCCTTGGAGTTCACTATAGAGCCTTCGCAAACAGTCACATAGCGACTTGCAGGATAGAATGAAGTGGAACTGACAAAGGCAAGCGAGACCTGAATGGCCATTTCTGGCTTAGTGACCGTTATCAACCAGTCATACCGAACCCCAGGTGTGGATCACCCGAGACCTTTAGTTATTGAGTACAACACTCTACCGAAGTGGAACGGGACCTAAAATGTTCCTAAACCTGACCGGTGAGCATCCTACATTTGAGATTGGGTATGACTGGCTGATGACGGCCAACAAGTCAGAAATACCCATTCCGGTCTTCCCTTGCTTCGTCGGATCCACTCCATCATATATCTGAGGTCGCTAAGCGAGAGCCTGAAATCACTCATGTACGAGCCTGAAGGCACACCGGGCCAAGTAGATGCCCAAAATCAGATAGGTCGGATGAACAACACAGTTCCATATGTATGTCTACATAGCCAGGAAGACTAGAATGGCCATATCTGGTTTATTAACTGTCTTCAGCCACTCATACCAAATTCCTCTTGTTGCGGCATCTGAGGCTCGAATCCACACTAAACATTGCGCAAGGGCTCGTTGCTTTCCATTTCGGATCGGGAATGTTAACAATTATAGGTAGATGCTCAGGGATTGGTTACGGGGCTTACCCGTGCCGTCGTGCTTTGGGGTTCATTACTGAGCCCCACCAGCAGGCGCCCAACGGCTAGCATATTTGAGAGAAAATGATATTACCGACAAAGACTAGGGAGACCGGAATGGTCATTTCTGGCGTGTTAACCATCATCAGCCAGCCACACCCAATTCCAGGTATTGTGGAACCAGAGGCACTGTACTCTTTCCTCGGCAACTTGCTCTTGGATGCAGGCCCTGAACGTGAATGTGAGGCCTAACTTAAAGATAAATACTGATCTGCGCTTTCGCACAGGCCGTACTAGAAACAATTGTCTGTACTTTTGGGGAGGGTTCCCGACATTAATCAGCATCGCGTGTTTCCTTCCTTGCGTTTGCCTCTTGTTGTGCACGCTGTTTACAAGACCTACTTGCATTTCTTTAATCGCCTCCAAAGGTCATAGGATTTGTTCCAATTCCTCTGGGAAAGGTTGGTCCACTCCTTTTGGATGGTCGAGAACACTATGTGCCGCTGGCCACCACTGAGGGTTGCCTCGTTGCAAGCACAAACCGAGGCTGTCGCGCTCTTTATCTCGCTGGAGGTGTAACTACTGCGGTCTTTCGGTAAATCTTCCCCTCCCCTTTTTATTCTTTGTTGTTGACTTCCGAGTGAGCCTCTACCGTTCCTCCTCTGAGTGTTGTAGGAAATTCTTAGGGTTTCGGTAATTTTACGCATATATATATTTCAAAGTAAGCGAAGTTATTTGGGAAAAGAATAACGTTTATTGTGTACATTTTTGAGACTGGTCCCCCCAGCTCGCCGTCGCACAGATCAGAGGTGTATAAAGGCAGTTAATTTCGAACGCTGTCTTATGCAAGATTCGATGGCTGGTCAGAGTGTAAGTCAAAAGGCGTCGCCTGCATCTAGTTATCCGATCTATAGTAGCTGTTTTTTGCTTCCATCTTACCTTGAGAAATTTGTTATCGGCCTCTAGATCGATATGCCTTCTAATGCATGCCTCATCTAAGTGCGTTGCTTTCAGGAATTCGCGACCTTTCCTTGTTGGACAGGCGCCAATGATATTGTTTTTCTCCCATGTGTCCAGCGTATTCATGGCAACCTGAGATAAGTAGTCTCGTCTCCTCACCACAGTAGTTGGTCGTCCTCGACTTAAATGTTCATTGAAATTTTGAGTCGGGCTGTAAAAATCTATGTCCCGGTCACTTAACCCCATGTCACGCAATTAATAACTTATGAAGGTATTCCCTTTATTGTGCTCTGGAATTCGTCCACCGGAAACCGCATAACATCAGTGAAACACGTGTCTGGGCTTTTAGCTAGTGCATATGGC